TTGAGGGCCTTTGATTCCCTGCAGTGAATGGTCTAGAGCAGGGGTGTCCAACCTTGGCCACTTTAAGCCTGGAGGACTTCAACCCTGCACTACCCTGGTCTAGAGGGTATTTCGTTCAAGGGCTTACGAAACACAACAGCACCCGTGTTCCGCCCACCCGCCGTTTCCCCTTTTCTGTTTCTCCGACTGCCCTGAGCGGCTCTTATTCCTTTCCCTCTTTCTGCAGATCTGGAGAATAGAAGGCTCTGCGAAAGTGGCTGTGGATCCTGCAACTTACGGCCAGTTCTACGGGGGTGACAGTTACATCATCCTGTACAATTACAGGCACGGGAGCAAGCAAGGGAAGATCATTTATACTTGGTAAGGCAGCTTTTCCTCTTGAAATATGGCCAAGGGAGAGTAACGCAGGCTCTAAACTCACCTTGACAACTTTTCTTTTCGGTTTCTGGGTGTCATAATTCATTATGGGGATTCTGCAATGGCCCTAAGTGTGGAAAACGGTCATAAGTCACTTTTTTTCCAGTGCTGTTGTAGCTTTAGATGGTCCCTAAATAAACTCTTGTAAGCTCTATATTTTGTAAGGCCTGAAAGAGAGCCTTCCTGTGTCCACTGGCATTGATCCATTCGCAAGTTTCTCTTCTTCTTCTTCTTTGCAGGCAGGGTGCAGATTCCACCCAAGACGAGATTACCACCTCAGCGTTTCTTACCGTCCAGCTGGATGAACAGCTGGGTGGCACTGCAGTGCAGGTAAAGACAACGACAAAAACCTCCCCTTCTCGAGGTGGGAAGCCTCGCGGAGACCCTCCATAAGAGGCAACCCCATCAGAGGCCCAAGCAGAGAAAGGGGCCAGAGGCAGAACGGATGTTGGAGAAGGCAGAACGTCTGCCGCCCTCTTTGGCCCAAGAGAGGCAGGATCAACACAGCTTCATGCTGTCTTCAACGCTTCGAAAAGATCCGGATCTTCCATACAAGCATGACTAAAATTCCAGGGGGGAATCTGAAAGTTGAACACTCATCCCTGCTCAGAAAACTAGACGGAAACTTGGTATCCCCAGACAAAAGAAACAGCGGGGGGCGGGGGGATGAATTGAAAACGATCGGTTTAGTCATTGCTTTGGCTGCAAAATAGACCCTTCATTTGATAGAGGAGACGATTTGTGGCTCAGAGTTGAAGTGAGGGCTCTTTGGTGCTCGCTGAGCTTGGTGGTTTTCTTGTGGTGTTTCTATTCCTGATGATTACTGGGTGTCCTGGTGATGTTACCTAACTTGGTAATAAAACGTCTGCAAGAAAACCAGCCAGCTCACAGCTCAGCAAAGATCCCCCCGATCCTTAATCTGCTGTGACCCCCAGCATGATAAATGTGCATTTCCACCCTTGTCACGACATCCTGCTTCCCAAACCTTTCCGACCTGGCGGACTGACACTGTTTTCCTTTTCCTTGATAGAAACGAGTGGTCCAGGGCAAAGAACCGCCTCACCTCATGAGCATCTTCGGTGGGAAGCCTCTGATCGTATTCCAAGGGGGCACCTCCAGAGAAGGTGGTCAGACCAGCCCGGCACCAACACGCCTCTTCCAAGTCCGTTCCAGCACATCTGGGGCAACCCGGGCTGTTGAGGTACATGACGCGAAATAAGGAATTGGAGGACAAGAAAGTCCAGGTGTCAGTGAAACGGAGCCAAAATGGTTGTGGGTCTTGGTGGGAATGAATCCCAGGCTAGACCTCCAAGTGGTCCTTGGCTCCTTTTGTTGAGAAAGGTATAGTTTATTAGAGATCAGGTCTATTGCAGAATTGCAAACCCGATCTTGGAATTGCATGCCAAAATTCCCACGTTCTACTTTCCCCTTCCTTAACTATATCTCACTGCCGTGGCATCACCATGCAGACTGTCTCCGTAACAGGCAATCCAAGCAACGTCTAGCATGTAGCTCCCTTCTCCTTCCAGCTGGGTGGCTTTGAGGCCGCGTCTTGAGGAGATGCGGCACTTGCCTTCGTTTCCCCAAGTGTCCATTCACCGCACAGCAGCGAAGCCCAAGCAAGCATAAAATGGCAGCTGACCCTGATGTCCTCTGCATATTTTTACAGATCACCCCAGCTGCTAAAGAACTGAATTCCAATGACGTCTTTGTCTTGAAGACCCCAACTACGGCTTATGTCTGGGTGGGCCAGGGAGCCAGCAACACCGAAAAATCGGGAGCCCAGGAGCTACTGAACGTTTTGGGAGTGCGGGCAACTCAGGTTGCTGAAGGCCGAGAGCCAGGTTTGAAATGCATGTCCGAAATTAAAAGTTCAGGTTCACACCTCATGCTAAAGAGAAGGTGTTTTTTTCAGTTGTGGTGCACCATGATGTGTGAATCCACTTCCAGCGCGCTGGGAGGAAGGAAAAACCAGGCCCTTGTGGCTTGTTCAACTCTCCAAGCCTAATAAAAGTCTATAATAGTGAAATATCTTGAAAAACTGTTGGCCGGGACTTTGCTGGAGGGAAATTCACTGTAGACTAAATAAAGGGGGTTTATCGGGACAAGGAGTCGGCTTCGTGCTGTTGGGGAAGCCTGGGTCAGAAATGTTCACCTCCAGTTCAACCTGCAGCACTGATGACGTGACCTAGTTTGGGTAATAAGACGCCTGCAAGCTCTGAGAGCGCCAAGGGCCCCTTCGATTCAAGGCAGGTTGGGTAACGCTTATCTTCTGCCCGCAAGTCTGCCTCCCTCTTGAGCTGCCCTCCACATCAGGAACGGACGTCCTGACCAAGGAAGTTCATTCAAGCTCCAGGTTTATTTTGCAGAAAGCTTCTGGGACGCCCTCGGTGGAAGGGCGGCCTACCGCACCTCCCCGCGGCTGAAGGACAAGAAGATGGACGCTCACCCCCCTCGCCTCTTTGCCTGCTCCAACAAGAGTGGACGCTTCACAGTGAGTACCTGAAGCTAACTTGGTTGCCAAGTTAACACACATTCTGCAAACTCTCTGCTACGGATGGGTCACTTTCCAACTAAAGAACCTCTCGCCCCCTCGCCCAACAACCGCAGGGTGACGGGCATCACCAGTGGAAGGGTGTTGAGGTCCTAAGAATGGGCAAAACTTCCTGAGAGGCATTTTTTCCAAACCTTGATAGCAAGAGGGTTGAATTTTGATGCACTGGGGCCTCTTGCGGGAGGACAAACTGTGAAAACTGGACTTTCCATCTCACAGAAGCTTCTTCAAGTTCTTCCTGACATTCACCTCCTTGAGACCACCCAAAACCACACCAAATAATTTGGCTATATTGGGGGTCCTAGCTGTGGTACACACATTATCCCTACTGAAATAGATGGCCAATAGATTTAAAATAATATCAACCAATCAATAAATGTTAAAACTCTTTGGGAATTCAGAGATGGACCTGATTTTCAACGTTCTGGATTCACTTGAGAAGCTTCTTCCGTTGGGGTTGCTTGTCAGGCTCATGCCGGAGAACGAAATCCCTTAATCTTATTGTTTTTACATTTTCCATTTCAAACTTCTTAGATTGAAGAAGTACCTGGAGAGTTGACTCAAGATGACTTGGCAACAGATGATGTCATGCTTTTAGATACCTGGGATCAGGTAAGTACCCCACTCCTTAATAAATGAAATTTTCTCTGCTCTGCACCATAAAATCGTCTACAGCAAAGGTACTTATTAAAGGGCCATAATGTTGTCTTGGCCAAGTTTTCTTGCCAAGTTTTCTTAAATTGCGGTTAACCCTCAGGAAATATATCTAACCTCTTTTCTTGATCTGTAAAATGTCAAAACAGAAATCAGAGGGGGGAAAAAACAAATACCATTTTCATTAAACATTTGTTTTCAAATATTAAAATCTGAGTAACTCAACAGCAAATCAATGTCTATTTCTGTTTTTAAGTGTACAATTGATTCGATTTAAAAAATAATAATTACAGGTGCTTCTCTAAAACTCATAAAACAATCATTTACGTTTAAGTTCATCATCAGCAGAATAAAGGCACCCAAATGTATCTCTTAGACCCAGTTTGTTGAACCCTTTGCCATCCTACCTACCCAATGGGCAGAATAAGGTGGAGATGATTCGTGAAGAGCTGACCATCCGTGGTGGCCGTAGCACACGTGAAGTTAATTTGGCTTTTTCTTCAAAGGTCTTTGTGTGGGTTGGGAAAGACGCCCAAGAAGAGGAGAAGACGGAGTCCCAAACCTCAGGTTAGTCGATCCCATCTCAATCTTTACATCATCCAACTCTTCACTGGCAGGTCAACACCTCCAAGGTTGATTGTGCTGATTATGTCTCTGCCGTTTTCTCCTTTTACAGCACGGAGATACATTGAGACTGACCCGGCCAACCGCGATCGCCGGACACCCATCACCCTCATCCGACAAGGGTTCGAACCGCCGACCTTCACCGGCTGGTTCCTGGGCTGGGAGGACGACTACTGGAACGTGGATCCTTTGGAGCGGGCTTTGGCGGATCTGGCTGTCTGAAGGAAGAGACCTCTCCTTCTCTTAATCCTTTGGAAGGAGGAAAGGGTGTGGCCTGCCAAAGTCTCCTTCCATCTCCTACAGCACTTTTCTTTTTTTTAAATAAAAAAATTAAAAATTAGCTCAAGAAGCTCACCGGTAGCCGAGACCTGTCCACGAACTGTATCGTTTTGAACCCGCTTGCTGCTGCTTTGAAGAAAACAGCCTTTAATAAAGCTTGTATAGAATCAGTAAAGGGCTTGCCGGCTTTGGAAATTTAGTTAAAACGTGTGTAGTCCTCGACTTACAACGGATCCTTTGAAGTTACATCAGCAGTGAAAAAAAATGTGACCGGACCGTTTTTCACACTTAGCGACTGCTGCAGCCTTCCCCCAAGGTCACGGGATCAAAATTTGGATGCTTGGCAATCGGTTCCTATGGCGGATGGTCGCATGGACCGTTCTGGACAGACGGATCTCCTCTTGAAGACCTCCGGTGGTGAGAGAAAACAAACCAATACCCATCTACCCCTCTGTTTTCTAACGTGGCCTGGAGGTTCTTCAGTCACAGCGCACTTCAAAGAAAGCCGTGCGATTGTTGCCGGTCCTGTTGTACGAAACCATGCCAGTCTGTTTACCCATCCACGAAGAAACCATGGTTCTCACACCCACCGTTCGGCTAGCCTGTTCCCTTCCAGGAGCCACCTCCAACGTCCACAACGTCTGAACTCGCCACCCCAGGGGACCAGGCACCAAGACAATCTCTTTCTTTAAATTTTATTAGGGTTGTGAGGGAGGGAGAACCACAGGAACAACGTCAAAACATTAAAAACAAACCAATACCCATCTACCCCTCTGTTTTCTAACGTGGCCTTGGAGCTTGAAGGACCCCGGTTTCTCCCCCAAGCAGCCCGAGTTCTGGAGAAACGTCTCCTGTCGATGGGCTTCCTTCTCCATCCTTTTCTGCTGAACTGGGTTAAAGAAAGACGATGGTGGAGAGGCGTGGGCTCGGATGGGCGCTGTCGGCCTTCAAGCAACGGAGTTGGATGGAGACGGGAGAGTCCTGAAGGAAGAGGGAAAGTTCTTTCGCCGCCCTCGGTGGTGGCATCACATCCCCTGGGGGGACAACCTAGAAGGAAGGGGAGACCACGGGTCTCAAGTGGGCATTTGGAAAGGCCTTGCCAGGCTCACAGCGCTACCGGCCCTTCATTTCTGCGATACCCAAAGCTGCAGAAGGCCGCCTTTATGTCTGAAGATAAGACAACACCTGGAAAGGGGTGAAAGGGGTCCAGGAATGGATTGTGTGAACAAGGGGGCCACCTAAAGATCTAACACTGCTATGCAGGCCAAGATGTGGAAGAGGCAAAGGCCTCTATAGAGATGGGATCCACCAATCCAGAACATACGATGGACGGTTGCAGGAACTGGGCCTGGCTAGTCCAGTAAAAAGAACCAGGGTGACAGGATAGCAGCCTTCCAATATTTGAGGGGCTGCCACAGAGAGGAGGAAGGGGTCAAGCTATTCTCCAAGGCCCCTGAAGGCCAGACAAGGAATAATGGGTGGAAACTGATCTAGGAGAGATTCAACCTGGAAATAAGGAGGAATTTTCTGACAGGGAGACCAATCAATCCATGGAACAGAAGTTGCCTTCGGAAGTGGTGGGAGCTTCATCGCTGGAGGCTTTCAAGAAGAGACTGGACTGCCATTTGTTAGATATGGTGTAGGGTCTCCTGCTTGGGCGGAGGGAGGTTGGACTAGATGACCTACAAGGTCCCTTCCAACTCTGTTCATCTGGTAAAAATCTGTGTCGCTCCCTAAGGTTCTAAGAGTAAGCAACAAAGATTGTAATTTGTATGTAGCAAATGACCTGTTGCATATCACCTTTGGGAGGGATCGGCTACCTGTAGGCTTCGGGGGTCCATTCTGTAGCTCATCCAAGATCGTTGTAAGGCAGGCGACCAAAACATAGGTGTGACTTGCAGATAAGGTAGTCCTCAACTTACAATGGTTCATTTAGTGACCACCCAAAGTTACCATGATACTGAAAAAAGTAAACCTACAGCCGTTTTTCACGCGTACGACCTTCACAGCGTCTCCAAAGTCACGTGATCCAAATTCAAGGCGCTTGGCAACTGACTCAAACATATGACGTCAGCAGCAGGGTCCCGGGGTCACACAAAGGGTTCACTTAACAGCCGGGTTCCTAACTTAACAACTGCGGCGATTCACTTAAGAATGATGGCAAGAAAAGTCAAAATGGGGTGAAAATCACTTTAACTGTCTCTCTTAATGACAGGAATTTGGGGGCTTGATTGTGACCATAAATCAAGGACTACTTGCCATCACCCTCCTCCTCTCACAGCCACAAGAGCGACCAGCAACTCTGTTGTCAAGTGGCTGCTAGGTGAAATCACAACCTCTGATTTTATTGCCGCTTTTCTTTGTTTTACAGACCTGTGAAGGCCATAAAGATGAGGATTGGTGGCAAAGTTACTTTTCTGTCACTGTGGTAACTGGAATGGTCACTAAATGAGGACACACACCCCTGTACTTAGCTGACTAGCTCTGCCCAGCATATTGAGACAGAAATCCCCACAGTCGATAGGCGCGGAGGATAGAAACCAAACCAAGGACAATGAAAGGTCAAGAGTAAAACGCAAAGCCAATAATTGCACACTGACCCTCTTACATTTACTCGTGTCTTCACGTTCTTGATCTCCACATGTTCTATCGTGACTCCCCAGTCAGCTGTGATATTGTTCAGCAGGGCCTGGTGAAAAACAGTACAGAGAAACGTGGACTACAGGGGATACGACAGCAGCCTCCCAATATCTCAGGGGCTGCCCCAAAGAAGAGGGAGTCAAGCTATTCTGCAAAGCACCTTCAGAAGGCAGGACAAGAAGCCACGGGTGGAAACTCATCAAGGAGAGGAACAACCTAGAACTAAGGAGGAATTCCCTGACAGAACAATCAATCAGAGTTAGCAATTAACAAATAATTAATGATTAATCAGAAGTTATGGGGGCTTCATCCCTGGAAGCTTTCGAGAAGAGACTGGACTGCCATCTGTCAGAAATGGTGTAGGCTCTCCTGCTTGGGCATGGGGGGTTGGACTGGATGACCTTTCAAGCTCTGTTAACCCGATAAACCAGTGAACGGCTTGCCTCCAGAAGTTGTGCATGCTCCAGGTTGGGGAGGAACCTGGGCCAGTCCTGGAGTCTGGGGAAGGCTCTGACAAGGACTCTGCGTCGGAGGCAGAGATGGGGCCAGGGCCGCCTGACAGTTATCAGCTGCCTTTGGAGTCAGACATCAGTGGGGCAGAAGAACAGCTGGAGCCTGTTCCCAGTGTGCACATGCGCAGAACTGCCAGGAGAAGGGAACAGCTAAGGAACAAGGGTCAACTTGGGAGTAAAGGCTCAGATGGATGGTGAGTGGCCCCTCCCAGAGGGAATAAAGAGGAGTGGTGTTTGCAGGAGACAATTAGTTCAAGTCATTAGGGTGAAGATCTGTTCCTAACTTCTTGTCAAGTATTGTCTGCCACAGTGTGGCGTCTGGAAGATATTGGCCTGGCAGGTCTCCAAGCCTGATAAAAGGTCTGTAGTTGTGAAAACTCTTGAAAGACTTTAGGCCGGGACGTTGCTGGAGAGGAATTCCCTTTAATCTAAATAAAAAGGGTTTTATCAGGACGAGGAGTCGGCTTGGTGCTCTTGGGGAAGCCTAGGTGAGAAGAGTCGGCCAAGAAACTAGGCCGAAGCGACTCCATCATGTTGTTCTTGGATCTTTCGGTCTGGCAGGTGTACCTGGATCTCCTTGGCAACCTTTTCCCGGTCGGAGATGAGGTGGGAGAGGGTTTGAGTCCCCAGCGTATTCTTCATGATGGCTTTGGCTAGAAGGCTGGTGGCTGCATCCGCGTCGGAGATCTTGGTCGCGGCAAGAAAGGCATCTCGGACTCGGTAGTAGACCACACCGTCCACATCAATGATCAGGGGGTCCTTAGTAAAAATCTGCAGGAGAAACAGAAACGGGGGAAGGTCGCTTGTATTCGGCCCCCTGAATTATTCACAAGCCGCCTTCATCGCTCTGAGACCCTTTGGGAGCACAGACTGTCCCCGCAGGGATTCACTTAGCAGCTGTGGCGTCTCTCTTTCGACCTGTTGCGCTCCTCTCCTTTTATTTTATTTATCCCCTTTGTGCAGCCGCCCATCTCAAATGGCAACTCATGGCTTGCTTTAACCTGGGTTTAAATAAGCCAGCACATCCTGGTTCACACGTCACATTAAGCTGAATGTCTCGGTTTAGAAATCAGACTGGTCGGTTTCATGCAGTGGGCCGAATCCAAACCAAGTCAACTGGATTTCGCCTTTGTCTTGCTTTCCAAGAAGTTTTAACCATGCTCCTGAAAATCTACAGATTTGAGCACCTTGAACACAGCTTGCAAAAGGATGACCTGCCGTCTATAAAAAGAGATGTAAATATCACCGAACTGAAAAAAAAAAAAAAAAAGGCCAAAACCAGAAAGATGATGAAAGACATTGGTTGGAGAAACTCAACAGCCGCAAATGTAATCTGCTTAAGGGTTATTAGATTTCCAGACAGTTAAACTCGAGTCAGCTGGAGCAGCATAGGTAATCTGTTTAACAGTTATTAGATTTCCGGCCAGTTAGTCTTGAATTGGCTCTAAAAGAACAATTATTGTCTCTTATGCGATGGGACAAGCAGTGAATCTGGAAGAAACTCAACATTGAGTACAGTAGTTCAGTTTTCATTATAGACCTCTTTGCCCTATTCAACTCCAGGAGCCTATCAAACTTCCATCCTCACCACCCGTGGAAAATCTGTTATTAATATCTGCACCACCCAACTCTCAGCCACTCTGGGTGCTTCGCACATTATTTTATCGCTCTGTGCAGGGATTCAAAGCCAAGGTGCCCCAAACCACAACCAATTGTAGTATACAATGTGAGACCCCAAATCTCGGGCAACTTTTAAACCAAAGTATGGTCAGCTTGAGGCACCCTCTGCAGCACGAGAGGCATTTCCCAGGCCCAATGGTGAGGCTGCCACATTAGGCTTTTAATCACATGTAGGCAATTTAAGCAGCTCCCCCCCCCCCCAAAAAAGCAAGGAATGTAAGGAAGAAGGAGACATGCGTCACAAAGCTGGCACCCTTTAATATGATTTGTTCATTGGGAAAAATGCAACCAGATGTCTTCTGGTTTTGAGCTCTCCTTCTCCTATGCAGGTAGACCAGAGATCAGTTTTGGAACTAATGGGAAAGCGAGGCTTGGCGGGCTGTTGGTTTCCCATTTTGGGGGAAGGAAATAAGGAATAGATAGATTGCAGAGAAGATAGATGACAGAGACAGATATTGAGATAGAGATAGGGAGAGATAGAGATAGGGAGAGAGAGAGAGATAGGCAGATAGAGATATCATAAATAGATAGAAAGATAGGATAGAAAGATAAATAGAAATAGAGATGATAGAGCTAGATAAATAGATGATAAACAATAGAAAAAGGAACAGAAAAGAAGAAGATAGACAAATAGAAACATAGATGATAGAGATGAAGATGAGAGATGATGGATGGACAGAGATGACAAACAGAATTGATAGATGGGTAGACAGACAGACGGAGACAGACAGACGGATAGATACTATAATATTTGATGCTCTCCACCAAAGAACGAAAGGAAACACTCACTTCCTGGAATGGCAATTCAAGTGCTTTTGTCCTCATGTCGACTTTGGTAAGACTGTCTGTGAAGGGCAGAATGAAATAAACCCCTTTGGGAAAAGAAATGACAATTGCCATCAAAATAAATACCTAAGCCTCCACATCAACCCCACAAAACAAACCAACCACTTCACAACCGTGGCCGGAGAGGTTGTAAAATGGCTCAAAATTCACTTACCAACTTTCTTGCTTTACAAAGAGAAATTTTGGGCTCGGTGGTGTTTTAAGTTGAGGACAACCTGTAATTGTGAGAATTGAGCTCAATGCACCCCGAGGCTTCGGGTGAACCACTCACCGGGCCCTCTGGAGACATTTTTCCGTACGTGTCCGAACCTCATGATGACCGGCTCTTCGTACTCGGTAACAACCTGAAACGAGGAATTCCGTGGCAAGTTTCAGCCTAGTTTTGTACTCCATTTGTAACATCCCAAACTGAAACATAACACAGGGCAGAGTGTGAAAAAGGAAAAAAAGAGAGAGAGAGAGAGGATTAAAACAGGTTATCCGATGCAAATGGGACGTCAAAGGGAGGCAAAACATCCTAACGAAAGGAAAGTATGAACGGAAACTAGCCAGCAAAACATTTATTGATTTGCAGTCAGTGATCAGCAAAGAAGCCACAACGCTAAAGCTGCAGATGTTTTTTTTGAAAGGCTCCAATAAGTGCTTGTGTTTGGTTCCCCCCATGGTGGTTTATTTGGGGGCCTCGTCTGTAACCCTGGACTTGATTGCACAGCAGCCTCTCTTTTCTGCTTAGCTCTCTTGCTCGCATCAAAAAGGCCAGGATTTCAGAAGGCTTTTTTTAAAAAATATCATTCATCACACAGTCAGCCAGATGTTCAGAACGGACTCGGCACATTGGTCCCCCTCTCAAGGCCTTCCCACGGAACTGGAAGAGGCAGAGGCGGAGGCGACAGGTATTGTCACAGGATGTCAGCTCTCCCAAGCGGAGCTGCTTTCTGCAGTTGACCGGTGCGGAGTTTATCAATGCCAGTGGCATCCGTGTATTATTATTTGTTCTATTTTTACCTGTAAGCAGAAGCAGACAGAGATGGGGAATGTCACGATGATGCATAGAACGGACAAGACCAGCAGGAACAATTCTCCCCGAGCCAAATTATCTTCCGGATCTTTGGGGCGAGAGAAAGGCGGAAGAGAAACAGAAAATGTGTTTGGGAAGCTGGGTAGTTTTCTTGCAGACGTTTCCATCAGCCAAACTAGATAACATGATCAGTGCTGGAAGGGAATGGGGTTTTGAAGTGGAAGAGGATGGGGGGAAGGAGGAGGAGGAAGAAGAAGAAGAAGAAGAAGAAGAAGAAGAAGAAGAAGAAGAAGAAGAAGAAGAAGAAGAAGAAGAAGAGGAGGAGGAGGAGGAGGAGGAGCTTTGAGTGACAGAGGGGTTTGCCTGGAGGAGGAGGAGGAGGACGGTGGGATCCTTGGAGCTCTCTGAATTTGGCGCGTTTCTTGCAAGACGATTCATGACCCAGCTAGACAACACCATCAGTGCTGGAAGGGAATGGGGGCTTGTGGAGGAGCGCGGGGTCCTCGGGGCTCTCTCAGCCCGCCCCGTCCACGCTCCCTCCGTGCAAAAAGTCACAGGTCCCCCCTCGGCCCCGCCGCTCTCCTGGGCTCTTGCCTGGAAACGCGTCGGAGCCCAGGGATTCCTCGGGCGTCTTGAGAGGCGCAGGCATGCTTCGCCTCGCTCGGTCGCTCCGGGGCAGCTCCAGGAAGCCCAGCCGCCCCCTCCCCGTCGTGGGCGGCGGTTGCTGGGCTGCCAACGCTCCAGCCTGGCGTTCCTCTCGCCTCTCGTCCCCGCGGCGGCTTCGGCCTTCGCCTTTACGCGCGGAGAGCTCGCCAAGCGCCCCCGGCGCCGCTCCCTTCCCCGCTTTTGCGACCGGCCCTGGAGAGGTGAAACCCCGCGGGGGAGCTTGCAGCTCAGGCTTGACCTGTGCGGGTCCTTGAAGACGTTTCATAACCCAACTAGGTAACATCATCAGTGTTAGAAAGGGAATGGGATTTGTGGAGAGAAAGAAGAGGAGGACTGTGAGGTCCTTGGTGTTCCCTGAGCTGGCTTGTTTTCTTGCAGAGGTTTCACTACCCAGCTAGGTCCCACCATCAGTGCTGGAAGTACACCTCCTTCCCTCTGAGCACTGATGGCATTACCTAGCTGGGTAATGAAACGTCTGCAAGAAAACAAGCCAGCCAAGGATTGCTCAACTGTGTGGTATTTGGTAGCAGACTCAGGAGCCCCCAGTGGTGCACTGGCGCAGGCAAGCCGTGGCCGGTGGCGGCTCCCCCGCTCGCACGGCGCCCACTCCGACCTCCGCTCTGGGGGCCGAAGGCTGCGGACGGTCCGTCTGTGGGGCTGCGCCACCGTGGCCTTGGCTCGCTCGGGCTTTGGGTCATGACGATGGGCCCCCTTCTCCCTCCCTCCCTCCTTTTCTTCCTTCCTTCTTCTGCTTCCCATCTCTTTCCTTTTTTCTTTCATCCCTCCCTCTTCCCTTCTCCTTCTTTCCTTCTTCCCATCTCCTCCCTCCCTTCCTTCTCCTGTTTCCCCTCTTTCCTTTCTTCTTTTTTCTTCCCCATCTCCCTCCTTCCTTCCCCCTTCTTCCCATCACCATCCTTCTTCCATCCATCCATCCTTCCCTCCCCTTTTTTGTCCTATATCCATTCCTCGCTCCCTCCCTCCCTCCTGCGGTTCTGGAGAAGAGAAAGTACCCCAGAGGCCTATATATTTCAGGCCAGAGAGAAGACGTCCACCAGGATAAGAGATGCCCGTCAAAAGACAGAGCCCTCCCGTGCCTAATGAATATAAACTGAAGCCGCGCAATCCAGTCTTTTCGTTCCTAATCACAGCTCTGGGGCTACCAGCTCGATTCAATTACTTGCAGGCACCCTTATTGTCCAGGCTGGCCTGAGATAAAATCTAAAACAACACAGCAAGGTTTGGAAATCTCTCCACCTGGGCAGGGCGAGCAGACTCTGCTCTATCTCAGGGGCCGAATAGGGCTGGGTGAGGCTGGCAGATGTTCTGCAGATGTTTTCTGCAGCTTGGAGGTGGATGGACCCACCATCTAGCTTTCGCTTCCCCCTTTCAGGATCTCCATCCTGAAACCCCTGCAAGGAAACCACCAAGCTCAGAGAGAGCACCGCGGCCTCTCCAAATATCTTCTTTTCAAGGGAAGCTTTGCCAAGGACGTCAGAAACAGGAACGCGATAAAAGAAAAATTTATTGGAATGTCAGCTGATAAACAAGGACACTTTAGAATTCAGACACGTTTTCACTGACCCTTTTTTCTCTCCTTTTGTACATGATATTAAGAGCACTTTTGGTAAATGGGCTTAAAGAAAAGTTTCTTTGGTGTTTTTTTGGGGGGGATGCTCCCCCCCCCCGCCCTCTGGAAGGACAGCTTCATTTGGATTCTATCATTGCGAACTGAATTAATATTACCATGAAATTAAAGCGGCCAGATCCCACTTTAACTTCGGAGAATATGAAGGATGCTATGATATTTCAACAGAGCTTCAAACAATTGAAAAACTTTTCAGTATTCATCTGACAGGCCATGATCTTCTTTCTAACCAGACCATGGGTCTGTTTTCCTGTTCTTAAATCTTTACACACAATGATTACAATTAACCACAATGCTATTCGGTTACAATTACCTCTAGTTCTGATTTCAATCAGGCACCAAGTTTACAAAACACACGATGCAAATATACAGAGATAAGGGGCTAAACATCAGCGTGGTACAGTATATTAGCAAAAAAGCTGAGATTTAGCACAAACATAGTACTTACTTGAGAAAGGAAGCCTATAGGGTTTGTTGGTCTTTCAGAGGAATTATTTTAAACTGGCTGAGGATGTGGAAATAGAGACTGTTGATGGGGAGGCCATAATGTTAAATTAAGCTTCCGTTCAGGTAAATGTCCAGCTTGTTAGCTTTTAGGAAATAATAAATTTAAGCTCAGCTAAAGATTCAAAGGCATCAGCCTCATTTCTGGCAATGAGACAATCATCTTTATGGTTTTATTTTTCTGGAGAGAGAAAAAAAATCAAAACCAGGGAAAATACGTTCATCTTTTTAAAGATGGTTTAAAAAGCAACTCTCTGTTTTTATATTTTTCAAAAAATGGACATAGCAAAACCAGATATTGGATTACGTGGATCACTAAGGCAAGGAGACACCTGTGTGTAACCTGAACATAATACGTAGCTGACAAGCATATTATCTCCATAACTACAATCTGTGCGTTGTTACAATCTCTTGACAACAAGGCTGCTATGGGACGTCTAATTTCTCATATGGGAAGCTTTCTCTCAAGAGAGAAAACAAAAAATATATTTTAAAAAATCAAAAGCCAGAACAATTCTTTCTTTCTCTCCCTCCAAATATTTAAGAGGTAGAAGGCACTCAAAAAATCTCTCTTTAACCCTTACAATACAGATTTTTTGCACGAAGGAGGAAAAACAATACACTTTCACTTATGGCTTTGAGGATTAGACGGGCCAGATTATCTTGTAAATCTAAATGGAAGAGGTGAATTTATAATTGTAATAAGTGCTGAAAAGAAGATTGGAAGTTACTTCTCGGTAACTTTTTTCTTCCTTTACTCTTTTCCTTTCTTGCACTGTTAGCTTTCTCTTCAATCCCTTTCTTCTTTCTTTTTCCTTGATATTAGTTTGTTTTCGTTTTTGTCTTCCTTTTTGAAAAAGCTTTAGTAAAAAAAAATTATATATGTTTGCATATCAAAGAAATCTCTCTTTAAAAGAAGAGATTCAACCTGGAAATAAGGAGGAATTTTCTGACCTTGAGAGCAATCAACCCATGGAAGAGAAGTTGTGGGAGCTTCCTCACTGGAAGCTTTCAAGAAGAGACCGGACTGCCAGCTGTCAGAAATGGTGGAGGGTCTGCTTGGGTGGGGGGTGGGGGGGTTGGACTAGATGACCTATAAGGTCCCTTCCATTAATCTGTATGATTTTTAAAACAGGGAGAAGCAAAATGGGACTTCTATTATTTGTTCAGAGGGAATCCAGCGGATGCAAAATACTTACAAACTCTACACGGTTGCAATTTCTCTCCTAGCCGTCGCTGACTTTTGCATTTCCCCTAACTTCCCACCCAGGAGCCCTTCTCTCTTTCTGCCTCCGCTAGTGCCTCATGGCCATAATCCCTTGCAGCATGTCTATGGGCAGGGGGAAGATGATGGTGGAATTCTTCTCGGCCGCTATGGTGGTGAGGGTCTGCAGGTAGCGGAGCTGGAGGGCAGCCGGGGACTCCATAATGACGATCGAGGCTTCCTTAAGGGCCCGGGAAGCGTTCATTTCGCCCTCCGCGGCGATGACCTGGAAGGAAAAGAAAACCCCTCTCCAGTAAAGCTCCAGAACGGGGGCATCAGACTCAAGGCCAGCGGGGCCGGATCCAGCCCACCGGAGACTGGACAGCCCTTTGTCTGAAGTGGTGTAGGGTTTCCAGCCCAAGTAGGGGGTTGGACTAGAAGACCTCCAAGGTCCCTTCCAACTCTGTTCTGTTCCTCAACAAAGAGGTGCTTAGGACTT